GCTGCTTCCACCAAAACAAAGGGACACCACCATTTCCAAGGCAATGCTCAGGTGTATAATGTAAGGATCCCTGTTGGAGAACCCTTGGGCTGGGAGAGACCGCTGTTCCTGGGGGTCCACCAGCTATGTTGGAGGGTGTTCCCGTCCATGGCCTGATGGGTGAGACAGCCCATACCTGTTCTTATTTCAGCGCGATTCTTCGGATAGGATTCTGGGGGTCCAAACCCTTTTCGGTTGGTTTCAGAGGGAACCAATGGGAGAGAACCGCTGTTCCTGGGTTCCCTATTTTACGGGGCAAACCCATGAGTCGTCTAGGAACACCGAGCCGAGGCAGCGCGCGGTGCGTGCGCCTGGCGTGCGGGCTGAAGCACACGCTCTTCCTCACCACCACTGGGGAACTGCCTGGGAGACCCAGGGCTCCGATTCCCGGGCGCGACATCAGGTGGATGGATGAATATGCTTCGTTTTCTCCACTTTAGGGGGTCCAGTGGAGCATTGCAATTCTTTTACTTGTCTGGACGGGGTCTATCTAAAGTCAACCAAAAAGGCGCTGGGTCTTTCCCGGGTTTTGTGGAAACTTAAACATATCTCCCGAATTAACATGACGCTTTGCCAATTTGGGAGCCCCGTTCACTCTGACAGTAGGCTTTTTCCCTCTGGGCAAGCTGGTTCGGGAGCATGCGGGGGGAGGAACTTTCTTTTTCGATCTTATGAAGTGAATGTGGGTGTGTGCAGCAACCATGCCAAAATGGTCAGCAGAGCTTGCCCCCTGAATGCGTCGACTAGTCACAACTGGAAAAGGGGGGGGCAGGTGGATTGCGATTCTCAGGATGTTGAAACTTAGCCGGGAGTATGTGTCTTGGACAACAATGTTGACCCAGGATTAATACACCCGTCCTATTCTTAAGGGGGTGTTCCCTCCAAAAGTGATGAATCCCCACTAAACGGTGAAAACCCCCCCCATTAATCAACCAGGAATTATTAATCCGGAATTGACAGTCTCTTGCTGTTTGGAAGCTGCTCAGCGTTTGCTGTTGAGCAGCCTAAAGAATCGACTGAGGGGCCCCTGTCCACAGGAGCCGCGTCAACCTTTTGGCCTCCTTATTTTTTTCCCTTTGCCAAGGGGGACGGCTTGCGGTGTTTCACGTTGAGCCATGGTCCGTGCTGGTTTGTTAAGGTGAGCAAGGCGCATTTCACAAAACCTGGGCAATAACAGCGACCTCCATAAAGCCTCCTGTCTTAAAAATCCCTTACTTTGGGTTGGTGAGTTGTCGAAAGGAATTCAGCCAAGCATCCACCCGGGGTTTGGGCCAACTTGTGGCCGCTTGACTGGGTCCCTTCAAATGAATTGACATCTTGAGGGGTTCTCCCAAAATGCGGTGGGGGTTGACCAGCCACATTACACCCATAGCCCCAGGCTAGGTCCTCGGAAGCTTCTAAGAACAGTGCCCTTTGACCAACTTTTTGGGGGGAGGGTTCTACTAAAATAGGCAAAACCGAAAAAGGTTGGTACCAACTTCTTCTAACCTCTCTGGAGGACTTAGAAACCTTCCTGAGGCTGGGCTTTGAGTTTCTTGCCCTCCGGAGTTGCGCCCAGGCTGGGCTGCGGCCAGAACGCGCGGCGCCGGCTCGCTCACTTGAGTCCTTGCATTGGAGTCATGCATCAACCGATGGGTTGTTCCTAAACGCCCCGCAGAAAAAGTCTTGACTGCTCTTGGGTTGGATCTCTAGACTGTTGAAAAAGTTATTTTTAGATCTGGCTCAATTTGGTTCAAACAAGTTGTTTTTCCCCACAAAAACATGCAACTTTTCCAAAATGTTGGAAATCAAGTTGGGTTTTCCGTACTAAACCCACGAAAAGTTGAGCAGCTTCTTGCAGGGGGGGGTCGTTGCAGGAAGCCAGAAGTGAGAGGGTTTCCACGTGCCACTGCAGAAAGGAAATCAGCGCATGTTTTGGGCGGAGTGGGAATCTTAGATGCAGGCTTTGGGCTGATTTTGAGTGGTCACTATTTCAGGTTTGGCCTGTGAGTGGGGGGTTGCTTTTAGCCTTTGAACCACACCTCCAAAAAAAAGAAAAGCAGATGACCAAGGGCCCAAGGGCGGTTTTTGTTTTTTCCTGGGCGAGTTCATGCGACAGATCCAGCTGAACAAACCGGCAGTCAAGTCTCTGATCGAGTCTTCCAGATATCCCAAGTGGCCATCAAGCGAAGCTTTGTGCTCGAAACTTAGCAGGGCTTCTTAAAAGATACATCCATTTCGCAACCTGTTGAAACATGGCATTAAGATCCAAGCCAGCCAAAAACCCCAAACTGATTAAACCAAAGCCCCGAAAAGCTCCTGGCTGACCTGAAGGTGAGGCTGGGGAAGTCGGCCCTAAGAGAAATAACTGACCAGGCAACAAACACATGCTGCACAAAAAAAAGCAAAAAAAAACAAAACAAAAAGCATTAACACAAGTCAACAACAAACACCAAAACAATCAAACAAAAAACGCAAACAAACACAAAAACCAACACACCTCTATGTTAAGCTGTAGGAGGGCCAAGACGGGCAACCGCAATATGGGTTGAATAGACCTACAACTCGTTTTCGTGGGTTTTGGCTTTTTGGCTTTTGGCCCAATGTCCAAAGCAGCGACCAGAGTGCCAGGCAACCCTTGCCTCACTTCCGCAGCTTCTCAGTCGCGACATGGGTCACTTTGCGCCGGGGCGTCGCACCCTGGGCGACGCCCCCCCTCGCCCCCTCGCCGCCCCCCCCACGGCGGGGTCCTGGTGGCGAGTTCGGGGCGACCCGTCGGCCAGTCGGCCAGGCAGCGGCAGTTGAGCAACTCAGTGTCCGGGTGCGTGACCACCAGCTCCTTGCCCTTCAGCCCGGGGCCCTGTTTTGACTCCGAGTTGGGGCTTGGAACCCCTGGTGAGCCACCGATCCGAAAGTGGGGGGGAATCCCCATCAAATTTTGATCCATTTCGGGTCCCTTATTAAGATGCACATCCAGAGTGAACACTTGGTTGTAAGAAGGTAGGGGGTGGCAGGAGTTGAACACTCCAAGGGGTTGGGGTGAAAACTTGGTTGGGGCAACTCAGCATGTGATGGTTGGCCGCAGGAACCTAAAACTCAGGCAAAGAATGAGGTCTTGGGCCCCTCTCTTCGGGGAATTCAACCTCCGCATTTGACGATGCGGGGCTAAGTCCAGCAACTCCATTTCCTGATGGGTATCTTCATCAGTCTTACGGGGTTGCTCCATGCTAGTAAAACTAAGCTTCAAGGGTAGACATGCTACCCTTTTGACAGGGTCTTCGGATAGCCCAGGGAAAGCACAATTGTGTTTAAAATCTGCATTCACAAGCAAACCACATGCCGCCAAGCAAGTCCTGCTTGATTTTGCCAGAGGGGCAAGAGGATGTAGAGTGGCTTGAGGCTTGGTTCTGGGTGAGTTCAGGGTTGGCTCGGCTATTATGCTTGGCTGTAGCTGGGAGGTTGAGGAATGCCCTTGCAACCTTGCATGGATCCGTGGTTGGATTGATTCTCACGCTCCCCACCTGCAGGCTAACGTCCAACATGGAACGCCCTAGAACACAATCGCTTTTGTAGAAGCGTTCCTTTTGACGACCCATTTAGTCTACACGGAGTACTCAGGTTTGTCTCAAACATGGGACACGCAGGCTTTGGATTGACGTTAGTTTCCCTGAGGATGCATAGGCATATTCAAATGTTGTGCCATGCGTTTTTTATTCTTCTTCTCTGCGTCGGCCGCCGGCCTTTTCTGCATCTTGCATGCCGACCCAGCATTGAACTCAGCTCCTGAGCTCCTGGGAAGTTTGTGAGACCCATCCCATTGCAGCCAGTCGATCAACTAAAGTACACAAAGGGAATAGGCGATTCTACCCACAAACATGTACAACGCATATCAGTGGGCCAATCCACACAGATGAGTTCCTGAAAAACCTGGGCTTTGTACGTTTTTTGGGGGCTGGACCAGTTCAGTGGCACAAGTTTGGACATTTCGAAGGGTCGGGAGAGGTCGGATGGAAATCCTCCAATGGCCCAGGTGAAGAGAACGGCCTGCCGGTGGACATCTTCTGCCACCCCTGCCTGAATGTCTCGGTGGTGCTGACCAAGGAGAACCGGCCGGGGCCTTGAATCCGGTCAGGAGCCCGTCTCCGAGTTGCACCAAGGTACGGGGCGGGGCATGGAAGTAACGGATCCGATCCCAAAGCAACGCACAGAGAAGATTCTTTCATAGCGGCAAACATGCAGGAGGTAGATCAAGGAAGGCTAAGCAGCCCGCCCTTCTCATTTGGGCTTGGGGGTGGGGCCAGAAAACAAACAATGAAATGGAAGCCTCGGCACCTAGATGGTACCGGACATCTATGTAAATAGATCGTCACGGGGTGTCCGACTCCGCCCGGCGCGACTCCAGCCGCGAGTGGCCTCCAGCGCAGACACGCCAGAGGATTTGACTGACTCGCGCCAATCGAATCCAATGCCATCCGCTGCCGCGCCCTTTTTCCATTTTGGCACACGAGCCCTCTGCCCATGTGCTGGAAGCACCTCTGAAGCTCTGTTTTCGGTTGATTTCCACGTTAACCCCGCCAAAACAAGGTTGAGCTCTCCAACTTCCAGCTTAAGAGCTAGGTCCCCCAGCTAGGTGCCCTTTCTCACCCCTTTTTGGTTGGGAGGGTTCCCCTACGAAAATAGACGTCCTGAAAAAAGAAACGGTACCAACTTATTCTATCGGCAGACGGTGGATATGCTTTGATTGCTAGATCTATAGAGGTACTAACACTGACTCCAGATTAGTCAACCCCAGTTTATTAATAGGTGTTCCCTCCAACAGTGAATCCCCACAAAGCGCAGGGGCACCCCCTTATCATGGTTGTTGTTGGGAACCATTTTCCATTTTTGCTTATTGTGGTTTAGTGGTGGGAATCCAACCACTTAACTGCTAAATTTTGTTTTTTTTGCTCCCCTTCCAGCGTCAGCCAAGCTATCAATATTAAGCGGTTCCGCGCCCGGCTCCCAATGGAGCTGCGCTTGTCGGGCCTCGATGGCTGTGAGCTCCGGCTCAGCGTCAGCGAGGATGGGCCCATGGATTGGTGTTCCCTATGCAGGGCTCCTCAAAAGATCTCCATTTTTCACCACGATTTGAATCAGGTTGCTTTTCCAACAAAATAAAGTTGGAAACCAGCATTTACAAGTTGCAATGTGCAGGTGGATCCATTGTAAGGATCCCTGCTATATGGCTGTCCTCGGGATGCTTGTCCTTTGTAGTTCCCTCGGCTTTCTCCTTGTACTCACTACTTTCTCCCTTGGGGTAATTCTGTTTTTTTGGTTCTGGCGGGGATGCTTGTCCTTCCGTTCCCCTCGAAAACCGCCCCAAAAACATGACCCCCCCATATGGGTGTGGCTTCAAAATTAAATTTGATCGGGGCAAGTTCCGCAGGTTTTGAATCGTCCATGCTAACCCACTTACACGGGTTGATTTTGCTACTTCTTTTGTTTTGAGCCACAGCCATATATGGGGACCCTAAAGGAAAGGGAAACCAACAATTTGCGGCCAGACCAATTTGGCTCGGGTTTGGGCTGCCAGTTCCTGTGGCTGGAGACAACTTTTGTCAATCTAGGTGGTCAAATTTTCTATTCAGGGAGTGAATCTCCTTCAAATCTTTAAGGTGATCAATTTGTGTTAGCCTGTCATGTTGACACTTTCTGTGTCATGGAAGTTGCCATAGTAGCAATTATCACAATAGGTCTCGGCAAGCATAGACCACTCCCCGGCCCCAAAGTTGCAGGACGGTCCACGTTCCTCAGTTCGGGGCTTCTTAATCTTCCATATGACTTCCATGTGGATTTTTTGATTCGTCAAAACGCTTGGTGTTACAACAGAATCACCCCGACCGAAAACCCCCAAACCAGGGTTGGGTTTCCATGCCCAAGTGGGAGCTGTAAATCCACAGGTTCCCCCGTTTCAACTGCCTTTGTGCATGGCGGGCACGCAAAAAACGGGAAATCACAACCTTCTTCGGAAGGTCTCCCTCCAACATCCCTGGTTGTTTGGTGGCTTCCCCCCCCAAACAAAAAAACGGCTGCAAAATCCACCTCACGGGTTTTGGGTTTACTGCGTCGGGTCTTTGATCTTTGGTCCGGCAGGACACCTTGGGCATTGAGCTCCTGCAACTCCTCCGGCGCCGGCTGCCCCCGCGGCCCGGGCGAGCGCTGGACGTGGCGTTCGGCTCTGTGCCGCTGGCGCCGCAGCGCAGCTTGCGGGCGCAAGGCGGGGGGCCAGGCCCCCGTGCCGGGAGGAGCAAACGGCGCTTGACTGCTACTGGGTTGGATCTTTAGACTTTAACTTTTTGGGGAAATCAAACAACATGTTCCACTAAACTCCCAAAAAGTGGAAAACACTTTTTGCAAAGGGGTCGTTGCAAGACGGAGTCCCTGAAAGGGGCAACCTGAAGGTGCAACCTAGGCCCAAGCGTTGGCCTCTCGAAGTGGGACGGCCTGAGATCTAACAAGAAATATACATATTTGTATACATACATACATACATATATATATATATATCTACATATCATATTTATATACATATATGTATATATACACATATGTGTATATATATATACACATACATATATATATATATATAGACATATACATAGATTTACATGCGCCTTGCTCATACCGGTTGACAAGCCACTTGAAACTGGATATGGACACTTTGCGGGAAGATGAAGCGAATCAGATGACGGTACGGTTTTTTGTTTTGGAGCCATATGCAAAAAGTCACAAGGAAGCGCCCCATTTTGTTTGGGGGAGGTACCCCATTTCAAGGCCTACCCTGCTGTCCAGGAGCAGCTGGTGACCATTTTCTCCTGAAAGAATCACGTGTAAACACAAAATAATCCAGACTCGTCTTTTGGGAGTTCCTAGTTCCGTGTCAATTTGGGATCTTTTAGGGAGTACCTGGGTCGTTGACCTATCTTAGAATGATGAATGCCTCATTTGCCAGGGGTCATTTGATCATATTTACGGAGCCAAGCTTGACTCCCATGTTACAACTAAAGCAGCGAGATCACAACACCTGCACGGCGGTCTCCGTTCGCTGGATCAAGCCTGGGTAGCATGTGAGGCGTGCTTGCCCTCACCGCCCCCCCCAAAAAAAAGAAGAAGAAAAAAGTGGTGTGGATTTTGAGCCCTAGCTATCACCGGGACACAAATGACGCTGATTTTGAGGGAGAGACTGCCGGGGTGGTTGTGCAACCACTTGGGGTACCTAAATGCGCGGGACTTGTCCGAGGTACATGTCCCCCCAATTCGCCCTTGTGATGACTCCCGGAATCTCCTTGGCTAGCTCAAACTTGGACGTGTTGGCGGGATTTTACCTGGTGGGCCGTCCACAAATGTTTGTTTGTTTGATTGTTTTTTGGGGGGATGAGTCCATGAGCCGCCCATGAGGCGTGACGTCTTCGGCAGTTGGGGTCTTCGCTTATCGCCGCACTC